TTTTTGTGTTTTTATGTTTTTATGTTTTTGTGTTTTTATGTTTTTATGTTTTTGTGTAAAAAAAATAAAAAATAAATAAATAAAATAAAATGTTTATGTTTGTGTGTCTCCCCTTGAACTGCCACTTTACTGTGGTGGGGGAGTTTGTACCCGAATGATCCTAGGAGCTGTGTTGCCCGGGGCTTTATGCCCCTGGGAGGGTCTCCCATGGCGAACAGGTCCTAGGTGACGGGGCAGACTAAGAGCAGTTCATAAACCTCTATGAACAGTATAAAAACAAGGACCGTGACGTCGCCCGGTACGGCGCAGCCGGGGCCCCACCCTGGAGCCAGGCCTGGGGTTGGGGCTCGAAAGCGAGCGCCTGGTGGCCGGGCCTTTGCCCACGGGGCCCGGCCGGGCTCAGCCGAAGGGACGACGTGGGCCCGCCCTCCTGTGGGCTCACCACCCGCAGAGGGTTTCATAGGGGTCGGGTGCGATGTGAACTAGGCAGCGGTCGGGGTCAGGGATCCCGGCAACATAGTCCACGGACACAGAACCTGGCTGTAGGGACGTGGAACGTCACCTCACTGGGGGGAAGGAGCCTGAGCTTGTGCGGGAGGTTGAGAGGTACCGGCTAGATACAGTCGGCCTCACCTCCAGCACAGCTTGGGCTCTGGTACCCAACCTCTCGAGAGGGGTTGGACCCTCCATCTTTCTGGTGTTGCCTGCGGGGAGCGGCGGCGAGCTGGTGTGGGGCTGGTGTGGGGCTGGTGTGGGTGGGGGGGGGCTGGTGTGGGGGGGGGCTGTGTGGGCTGGTGTGGGGCTGGTGTGGGGGGGGGGCTGGTGTGGGCTCATTGCCCCACAGCTCAGTCGCTGTGTGTTGGAGTTCACCCCAGTGAACGAGAGGGTCGCGTCCCTGCGGCTTCGGGTCGGGGACAGGTCTCTCACTGTGGTGTCGGCCTACGGGCCGAACAGCAGTGCTGAGTACTCGAGTACCCGGCCTTCTTGGAGTCCCTGGGAGGGGTACTAGACAGTGCACCGACCGGGGACTCCGTTGTTTCTACTGGGGGACTTCAACGCCCACGTGGGCAACGACAGTGACACTTGGAGAGGGGTGATTGGGAGGAACGGCCTCCCTGATCTGAACCCGAGCGGTGTTCTTGTTATTGGACTTCTGTGCTAGTCACAGTTTGTCCATAACGAACACCATGTTCGAGCACAAGGTCCATAAGTGCACGTGGCACCAGGACACCCTAGGCCGGAGGTCGATGATCGACTTTGTCGTCGTGTCATCTGATCTCCGGCCGCGTGTCTTGGACACTCGGGTGAAGAGAGGGGCTGAGCTGTCAACTGATCACCACCTGGTTGTGAGTTGGGTTCGCTGGCGGAGGAGGAAGCCGGAAAGACCTGGCAGGCCCAAGCGTGTAGTGAGGGTCTGTTGGGAACGTCTGGCGGAGCCTCTGTCAGCAGGATTTTCAACTCGCACCTCCGGGAGGACTTCTCCCAAATTCCGGGGGAGGCTGGAGATATGGAGTCTGAGTGGCTCTGTTCTCCACTTCCATTGTCAATGCAGCTGCTCGGAGCTGTGGGCGTAAGGTCTGTGGTGCCTGTCGCGGCGGCAACCCCAGAACCCGGTGGTGGACACCGGAAGTAAGGGATGCCGTCAAGCTGAAGAAGGAGTCCTATCGGGTCTTTTTGGCTCGGGGGACTCCTGAAGCAGCTGACGGGTACCGGCGGGCCAAGCGTGCTGCAGCCCGTGCGGATGTGGAGGCAAAAAACTCGGAGCTGGGAGGAGTTCGGGGAGGCCATGGAGGAGGACTATCGGACGGCCTCAAAGAGATTCTGGCAAACCGTCCGGCGCCTCAGGAGGGGAAAGCAGTTCTTCACCAACACCGTTTACAGTGCGGGGGGAGAGCTGCTGACCTCGACTGGGGATGTAGTCGGACGGTGGAAGGAAAACTTTGAGGATCTCCTCAATCCCACCGTCACGTCCTCCGAGGAGGAGGCCAAGGCTGGGGACTCAGTGGTGGACTCATCCATCACCCTGGCTGAAGTCACTGAGGTGGTTAAAGCTCCTTGGTGGCAAGGCTCCGGGGGTGGACGAGATCCGTCCTGAGTATCTTAAGTCTCTGGATGTTGTGTGTCTTGGCTGACACGCCTCTTCAACATCGCGTGGCGGTCGGGGACAGTACCTCTGGACTGGCAAACCGGGGTGGTGGTCCCTCTGTATAAGAAGGGGGACCGGAGGGTGTGTTCCAACTATAGGGGATCACACTCCTCAGCCTCCCCGGTCTATGCCAGGGACTGGAGAGGAGAATCCGCCCGATAGGGGATCCAGGAGGAGCAGTGTGGTTTTGGTCCTGGCCGTGGAACACTGGACCAGCTCTACACTCTCCATCGGTGCTCGAGGTTCATGGGAGTTTGCCCAACCAGTCCACATGTGTTTTGTGGACTTGGAGGGGGCATTCGACCGTGTCCCTCGTGGTGTCCTGTGGGGGGTGCTCTGGGAGTATGGGGTCCGGTCCCTGTATGACCGGAGCAGGAGCTGTGTTCGTTGCCGGCAGTAAGTCAGACCTGTTCCCGGTGCATGTTGGACTCCGCCAGGGCTGCACCTGTCACCGGTTCTATTCATTGTGTTTATGGACAGAATTTCTAGGCGCAGTCAGGGGCCGGAGGGGGTCCGGTTTGGGGACCACAGGATCTCATCTCTGCTGTTTGCAGATGATGTTGTCCTGTTTGCTTCATCGAACCAGGACCTGCAATGTGCACTGGGGTGGTTTGACCCGAGTGTGAAGCGGCTGGGATGAAGATCAGCTCCTCCAAATCCAAGGCCATGGTTCTCGACCAGAAAAATGCGTCTCTCCCTCTCCGGGTGGTGGGGAGTCTTTGCCTCAAGTGGAGGAGTTCAAGTATCTCGGGGACTTGTTCTTGAGTGAGGGAAGGACGGAACGTGAGATTGACAGGCGGATCGGTGCAGCTTCGGCAGTGATGCGGTCGCTGTATCGGTCGTTGTGGTGAAGAGGAGCTGAGTCGAAAGGTGAAGCTCTCGATTTACCGGTCAGTCTTCGTTCCTCCTCTCACCTCTGGTCATGAGTCTGGGTAGTGACCGAAAGGACGAGATCGCGGATACAAGGGCTCGAAATGAGTTTCCTCCGCAGGGTGTCTGGGCGTCTCCCTTAGAGACAGAGTGAGGAGCTCAGTCACACGGGAGGAGCTCGGAGTAGAGCCGCTGCTCCTTCACATTGAGAGGAGCCAGTTGAGGCTCGGGCATCTGTTCCGGATGCCTCCTGGGCGCCTCCCTCAGGAGGTGTTCATGTCCCGCCGGGAGGAGGCCCCGGGGAAGACCCAGGACACGCTGGAGGGACTCTGTCTCTGGGCTGGCCTGGGAACACCTCGGGTTCCCCCGGAGGAGCTGGAGGACGTGTGCATGGAAAGGGAAGTCTGGGAGTCCCTGCTTAAACTGCTGCCTCCGCGACCCGGCCCCGGATAAGCGGACGAAAATGGAATGGAATGTTTTTGTGTTTTCGTGTTTTCGTGTTAATCGGTGTGAAAACAAAAAAACGCCCAAACTTGTTGAAAGTCGCACAAATCTGATCCTCCCGACCACAAAAGAAGCCGCCCCGTCTGACAACGCTGAACCTGAACTCTGAACTTTGACCCGAGGTTTGAAAACACAAACACAGATCACACAGATTACACAGAGTCTGAGGAAAACACAATCAGACGCACACGAGAAACACACAAACACACACACACACACACACACACACACACACACACACGAGAAACACACAACACACACACACACACACAAGAAACACACAAACACACACACACACACACGAGAAACACACAAACACACACACACACACAACACACGAAACACACACAAACACACACACACACACACAAACACACAAACACACACACACAAGAAACACACAACACACACACACAGAAACACACACACACACAGAAACACACAAACACACACACACACACGAGAACACACACAAACAAACACACACACACACGAGAAACTAACAAACACACAAACACACACACACAAGAAACACACACAAACACAAACAAACAAACACACACACGGGACACACCACACACACACACCGCTCCGGGGACAGAGGGTTAAAGCTCCACTGCGGGACATTTGCTCACACTTCACACTAGAGCAGGGTTAGATGAGGTCGTGGGTTCGGTTCTTACTGGAGAAGCGTCTCTTTGCCAGGAGTTTTTCCGTGGTGCCGTTGAGCATGAGCACCTGCAGGACGTACTCCTGCGTGGCGTCCAGCCCGGCCACCGTCGCTCGCCCCCTGGTGGTCGTCAGCATCAACTCCGGCTGAGGCACGTCTGAAACACAAGAGTCACAGCACAACCTCAGTCTGCGCGTTTAACCGACAACCAGGAGGTCACCGGTTCAAATCCCTCACTGTGTCCTGGAGCAAGACACTTCTACAGCAGCGTCAGTAGGAGGCGGACGGTTAACCCTTCCAGACCGACGGTATCGTATACGTATACGTACCGGCAGACATGTTTTACATAACCGCGCATAACTTTTTAACCATAAAAGATAGAGACTTAATTTTTTCCCCTTGTATAGATAAAACCCGTGGCTTTACGAGCATCTTTCCGGCATCATCCTACGTCACACGCACGCTGCGTGGTGACGTAGTGAAAACAGGTGTCCAATAGGAACTTCGCTCTTCGGCGCGTGACGCGCTCCATCCATTTTCATTGGCCCAAACTTTGCCAAAGATTGTTGTAAGTCAAGATAGTTTCTCCTCTGAGCGTCTGTGCTCATAGCATTTGATAAAGCAGACCTAAGTACCATTATTTCTCAAGTAAATGGCAAATTACGCATCTCGGTGTGCGTAATTGCGCATCCCTTACTATTTTTATTTGAAAAGTTTTTTTCACTTGCAAATGATACATAATACACCCAACAGGACGTAAACAGCCTAGTGCCGAGCAATGAATCGGGTGCGCGCGGGTGTGAGCAGGTGCGCGCAGATGCACGCTTGGCGTACACACATTCGTGTGCCAAGGCATTTGTTGTTTTGCGCACAGAGGATAAAGAGCTCCGGGGAGTCTATCAGAAGAAAGAAAGAAAGAAAGAACGAAAGAACGAACGAACAGAAATGACACGCAAAGCGTCACTTTCCTTGCTGGAAGCAGTGGCGATGGTAACGGAGCCTGACAGTGACGCCGAGTCCGATGTGGACACTTTTTATACAGATGAAGAGTTGGATTACCTGGAGGATCTGGACCCTATTGAAGAGTAAGTAGCAAATATTTCATAGTTATTTAGAGCAAACATCATGCAACACTTGTAGTAAACGGGCGTAAATACATAATAGTAGCATGTGTAATGCCTATTTACGCATTGTTTGGATACAGTTTTATTTGATGCGTGAGGGGTATAATCATTTAGGTGGGGGATGAGATTGTGAACTTCAGACAACTGTTTACCTGTGTTGCACTAGACTTATGACATGTATGTTGTTGTTTGTAATAACGAGCTACAAACTACATGTGTAAAGTGGATGAAGTGGTTTGGGAGGTGTGGATGTCCTAATTAGTGAGGTCATAATCTGTTGACACCATTTGGGTGGGGGATGGGGTTGTGCTTTGTGTTTGCCCCTGCTGCACTAGACTTAGACTTGTTGTAGTCCATATGTAATACACAAGTTTTACACAAACTAACATTTTTTCCTTTTCTTTTGTTTAGTGCTGAGTCAGAGGATGTTCCTCAGGCTCCTCCAGATTCCCCTGTGCCATTCACTTCAGGTGTCTCCCCAGCTTCATCAGTGTCTACAACCCCAGCCACCCGTCCAGAACCATCAACACCTTCAACACCTACGATCTCCTCTGAGAGCAGGAGGAGGGGCAGGGATGGAGGGCATGGAAGATCCAGATCTCCACTCCTCAGTACTTCATCTCCATCACCACACTTACTAACCACCACACCAGGAAGACCGCAGCAGGCAAGGATCATATGGGAGGCTGTCATGTGTGCACTGCTGACAAACACAGGGGAAGAGGCAGTGTACTGCATGGAAATGCAAGGCCTGTGATGTGGCACTATGCCTGGTGCCTGATAGGAACTGCTTCCATGATTGGCACTAGTGAAGGACTTGGACGAGTGCACTTTTTTTTGTTTTGAGGGCAAAAATGACATTATTAGAATACCTACAAACTTCATATTTTGCGCTTTTGTAGCTAAGATCCTAAACTAAGTATTTATTATGTCTAAAAAGTTGTTTATACATGTTTGCTGTGTGTTTTGAATAAAGGAGTGTGAATATTATTTTCCGTTTTTTTTTTTTTCCTTTGTATTTCTAGTGCTATAGCTTTTATTACAGCCATATGACACAACTACAGCACTCAGATTGTGAAAGAACAGGTTGTACTGAAAAAAAGGATGTATAGCACTTCATTAGGGGATAAAAGGGAGAGTTTTAATAGCAAAATTAGGAAAAAAATCCAGGCGAGGACAAATGTACCAAAAATGCCCTTAGGTCTGGAAGGGTTAAGTCACGTTAACCTGGTCTGACAGCACACGGGGTCCCAAGATGGCCGCCGCTTCAGACGCAAACACAGATTTCACTTTTTATTTATTTTAAATCTATAAACAACGAAACAGAAAAACAGAAAATCCTTTTCACCGGAAAAATTCAACTTCACTCATTTTCTGCTCCAAATGTTTGAATTTAACTGAACCAACGACCAGAAAATGAAAATCAAACAGTTAAGCACAGAGAAAACACAACAGACAGCAGGACAGACGCTCTACAGACCCTCTACAGACTCTCTACAGACTCTCTACAGACTCTACAGACTCTACAGACTCTCTACAGACTCTCTACAGACTCTACAGATCTACAGACTCTACAGACGACTCTACAGACTCTCTACAGACTCTCTACAGACTCTACAGACTCTACAGACTCTACAGACGCTCTACAGACTCTCTCTACAGACTCTACAGTACAGACTCTACAGACTACAGACTCTACAGACGCTCTACAGACTCTCTACAGACTCTCTACAGACTCTACAGACGCTCTACAGACTCTCTACAGACTCTACAGACTCTCTACAGACTCTCTACAGACTCTACAGACTCTACAGACTCTACAGACTCTCTACAGACTCTACAGACTACAGACTCTACAGACTCTACAGACTCTACAGACGACTCTACAGACTCTACAGACTCTACAGACTCTCTACAGACTCTACAGACTCTACAGACTCTACAGACTCTCTACAGACTCTCTACAGACTCTACAGACTCTACAGACACTCTACAGACTCTACAGACTCTACAGACGCTCTACAGACTCTACAGACTCTCTACAGACTCTCTACAGACTCTACAGACTCTACAGACTCTACAGACTCTACAGACTCTACAGACTCTACAGACTCTACAGACTCTACAGACTCTACAGACTCTACAGACTCTACAGACTCTACAGACTCTCTACAGACTCTACAGACTCTACAGACTCTACAGACTCTACAGACTCTCTACAGACTCTCTACAGACTCTCTACAGACTCTACAGACTCTACAGACTCTACAGACTCTACAGACTCTACAGACGCTCTACAGACTCTCTAGACTCTACAGACTCTACAGACTCTCACAGACTCTGACTCTCTACAGACTCTCTCTACAGACTCTACAGACTCTACAGACTCTACAGACTCTACAGACTCTACAGACTCTACAGACTCTACAGACTCTACTCTCTACAGACTCTACAGACTCTACAGACTCTACAGACTCTACAGACGACGCTCTACAGACTCTACAGACTCTCTACAGACTCTACAGACTCTACAGACTCTCTCTCTACAGACAGACTCTCTACAGACTCTACAGACTCTACAGACTCTACAGACTCTACAGACTCTACAGACACTCTACAGACTCTACAGACTCTACAGACTCTACAGACGCTCTACAGACTCTACAGACTCTACAGACTCTACAGACTCTACAGACTCTACAGACTCTACAGACTCTCTACAGACTCTACAGACTCTACAGACTCTACAGACTCTACAGACTCTACAGACGCTCTACAGACTCTACAGACTCTACAGACTCTACAGACTCTACAGACTCTCTACAGACTCTCTACAGACGACTCTACAGACTCTACAGACTCTCTACAGACTCTACAGACTCTCTACAGACTCTACAGACTCTACAGACTCTACAGACTCTACAGACTCTACAGACTCTACACAGACTCTACAGACTCTACAGACTCTACAGACTCTACAGACTCTACAGACGACTCTACAGACTCTACAGACTCTCTACAGACGCTCTACAGACTCTACAGACTCTCTACAGACTCTCTACAGACTCTACAGACACTCTACAGACTCTCTACAGACTCTACAGACTCTACAGACGCTCTACAGACGCTCTACAGACACTCTACAGACACTCTACAGACTCTACAGACTCTCTACAGACGCTCTACAGACTCTACAGACTCTACAGACGCTCTACAGACTCTACAGACTCTACAGACTCTCTACAGATCTACAGACTCTACAGACACTCTACAGACACTCTACAGACTCTACAGACACTCTACAGACTCTCTACAGACCCTCTACAGACGCTCTACAGACTCTACAGACTCTCTACAGACGCTCTACAGACTCTCTACAGACTCTCTACAGACGCTCTACAGACGCTCTACAGACGCTCTACAGACGCTCTACAGACTCTACAGACTCTACAGACTCTACAGACTCTACAGACTCTACAGACACTCTACAGACTCTACAGACTCTCAGACTCTACAGACTCTACAGACTCTACAGACAGACTCTACAGACTCTACAGACTCTACAGACGCTCTACAGACGCTCTACAGAACAGACTCTACAGACTCTACAGACTCTCTACAGACACAGACTCTACAGACGCTCTACAGACTCTACAGACTCTCTACAGATGCTCTACAGACACTCTACAGACACTCTACAGACTCTACAGACGCTCTACAGACTCTACAGACTCTCTACAGACACTCTACAGACTCTACAGACTCTCTACAGACTCTACAGACTCTCTACAGACTCTACAGACTCTACAGACTGACTCTACAGACTCTACAGACTCTACAGACTCTACAGACTCTACTCTACAGACTCTACAGACAGACGCTCTACAGACTCTCTACAGACTCTACAGACACTCTACAGACTCTACAGACTCTACAGACACTCTACAGACTCTACAGACTCTACAGACTCTACAGACTCTACAGACTCTCTACAGACTCTACAGACTCTACAGACTCTACAGACTCTACAGACTCTCTACAGACTCTACAGACTCTACAGACTCTACAGACTCTACAGACTCTACAGACTCTACAGACTCTACAGACGCTCTACAGACTCTACAGACTCTACAGACGCTCTACAGACTCTACAGACTACAGACTCTACAGACGCTCTACAGACTCTACAGACTCTCTACAGACGCTCTACTACAGACTCTACAGACTCTACAGACTCTACAGACTCTACAGACTCTACAGACGCTCTACAGACTCTACAGATGCTCTACAGACTCTACAGACTCTACAGACGCTCTACAGACTCTACAGACTCTACAGACTCTACAGACTCTACAGACTCTCTACAGACTCTACAGACTCTACAGACTCTACAGATACAGACTCTACAGACTCTACAGACTCTACTCTACAGACTCTACAGACTCTACAGACTCTACAGACTCTACAGACTCTACAGACTCTACAGACTCTACAGACTCTACAGACTCTACAGACTCTACAGACTCTACTCTACAGACTCTACAGCTCTACAGACTCTACAGACTCTACAGACTCTACAGACTCTACAGACTCTACAGACTCTCTCTACAGACTCTACTCTACAGACTCTACAGACTCTACAGACTCTACAGACTCTACAGACTCTACAGACGACTCTACAGACTC